AGAAAGATGGATTTTTAAGGTCTGAGGTACCAACCTAACTAGCTCCACAAGAGAAGATTGCATGTCTAGGACTGGTGAAAAAGGCCAATGGAGGAAGTCAGGTAAGTTCAGAATATAAAAGACTTTAAAGTCAGGCAAAAGCATATGAACTGGGATCTCTGGTTTTTAATGCCTTTTCCTCTACTTGGAGAAATTCCCTTCTTTCCCAGAACCCAGTTTCCTTTTCACACAGGATTTTCTTCAGTTGTGCAGTTTGTAGGTTTCTAGTTTCTGACCAGCTACAGTGGTTCTCAAACCTTGATGACTACACGTTGTAGTTACCTGGAGAGCTTTAAAAGCTATTGGTGGCTGGATTCACTCTTAGTGATTCAGATTTATCTGGTCTTGAATGTAGCCTGGACATTGAGATATATAAAAGGTTCCCAAGTGATGCTGATGTGCGGCTAAAGTTACAATCATCTGATAAAGAAAACAGTGAAGTGCTAAGCTTCTTAATCATGGTAATGATACATTGGAAGAAACAAAGTGTTTTAAGAAGACTAACAGAAGAAACAGAGTAGATGGAAAAGACCATAGAAGACCAACTCAAATTTTTCAATAATTTGGATGAAAAAATCATTAAGGCCTATGACATTGTAAGGAAGATGAATGGAAAAAAAGTAAAGAGAAGTAACATTAGGACTCAGTAACTGCTTGAATATTACACATGATCAAAAGTGAAGAAAATACAGAGTCAAGTTTCTAGCATAGAAGGATGGTGGGATTTTCAGCAAAACTAAAGTAGTTGTGAAACAGCTAGGTAATCATTATTATTGATAATATGGTGCAAAACATTAGGTACTATGTCAGGGTATGTGCTGTGTTTTTTATTTAATCTTTACAATAATTCTGTAAATACTGTTTACAGAGGAGTGCAGAGAAAATATTTGAACTCTACTGGTCTGGCTCATTTTCCTTGTAATAGGAAAATGATCAGTTACACACTGAATCTGCTGAATTTTAACAACTCTGAAAACAAAATGGCTATAGAGACCAAACAGGAACATAAATAAGTGAATCAAGTTATATTTAATTGTAGAGAAATGAAGATCTAGAAGGGGGCAGCTACTCAGCTATACCTGAATGTGACGAAATGAAAGTATGAAACTAATAGATGAAGTGGATATATTTAAATTCATGGCTGGCCCCAAAGCCTAAAAAACTATATACCCTAACTACATGGAACTCAAAGGGACAAAGAATCTCTTTATTTTGTACTTTAGAAATTATGCCACAATGCTGAGGCTGAACTTGGGCCTAAAGAAAAGCCAAAGAAATGACAGTACTTATAGAATAGATATTATAGAACAGTCTTTTAAAATTAAAACTATGGCACATGGGACTAGCAGATGATGTAATGGTTATGTTGCTGAACTCTCATGTAATTGACCATGGTCCAATTCCTGGACTTGGTGGCTTAAAACTCAGGGTAGGTGCATGTGCATCCGTAACCAAAAGCCCAAGAGAGGAATGGAGGAGAAGGGATTGTGGTGTGGCCATCCTCCCTGGGGGGTGATTTCTTGCTTTCTGTCTGTGTCTCTCTAGTGAGCACACACCCAACAGCAAAAATCTCTCTCCCCCTCAAAAAAAAAAATAACTAAAATAACTATGGCACATAAAGTCAGATTTGGTGTGGTGACTCTTCCACTGTTGTGACTGGCCTTTTCAAAATGATGCCCCAAAATATATCTACACATACTTGAAACAAGAAGAACACTCTTCTATAGTCACACTCTTCACTCTGGCATTTGAGAGTAAAAATTATTCTCTTCAAATACGCATAGTTAAGGGAGCTATGGCCATCAGAAAAGTCATGATATATTTTTCTATGCAAAAATACATCATGACTTTTCCGACGACCCAATATTCCACATGGCAGATCACAGTTTGAATCCCAGCCCTGGCAGCTTAAAAACAAACTAAGCTGGACCAGCAGGTATTGTGGTAGTTAAAGTGCTGGACTACCACATGGCCAACAGTGGTCTGAGTCCCAGATCTGGTGACTTGAAAATCATACCAGGTATGTGTGTGTTCATACCCAAAATTCTGGGAGGAGAATGGAGGAGAAGAGATTGCAGTGTGGCCAATCCCCAGTGGAGGGTGATCTCTTGCTTTACCTCTCACTGTTTCTCTCTGTCTCTTTCTGGCATGTGCATGTATGCACACTATAGTAAAAACCTTTAAAAAAAAAAGGGAAAGAAAAACATGCCACACATATCACACATACATGTGTGTTTCACTGAAAATTCCAACAGACTGGAGCAACAGAGGAGAAGGGACTACTGTATGAACATACCCCATTGGAGGATTCTCCCTCTTTCTACCTCTCTCATGAGCACACATGCCCTATAGCAGAAAGCTTTCAATTTTCTATTAACTAAAAGTTAAATTGCAGACAATGATCTAAATTTTTATGTAATTACAACTTGATAAAAATGTTTCTAAATTTTGAGTGTTTATTTCTCCCATTGGCTAAAAGGTAACTGAAAGATTGTGGAGGTGGTCTTCTTTATTGTAGTGGGTAAGCCCATGCATTGGGAGCTAGATGTCACATAGCTGACTATGGTTCAAATCTTGGTCCCAGATGCTTGAAAACATCCAGTTGTGTGAGTATGCATGTCCCAAATCCTGACAGGATGGAGAATAGAGGGAAAAAATTGTAACAGAAGCACAACACATTGGAGGATGCTCTCTCTGTCTTTCTGGCAAGCACATATGCCCTCTGGCAATAAAAAAGGAACTGAAAAAAGAAAGAAAAAAGATTGTGTTTTGTTCGCATTTTTACTTTTTTTTTTTTTTTGGAGAGGTTTTTGCTATAGGGTGCATGCGCTCGCCAGAGAGACAGAGAGATAGAGTGACAGAAAGCAAGGAATCACCCCCCTCCCCCAGGAGGATGACCACAGCACAATCCCTTCTCTCCCAATCTCCTCTTGGGATCTTGGGCACGCACGCACACACCCGGTATGAGTTTAAGCCACTGGGTCTGGGACTTGAACCGTGGTCGACTTCATGGGAGTCCAGCGACATAGCCATTATGCCAAATGCTGGTCCCCACATTTTTACTTTATACCTTGGGTTACTCCCTCCCAACCCATTTCCTCATATACACTTGTATTTCCAATGTCCGTAGCAGAGGGGTTAACAATTAGCAAAGATTAAATAAATAATTAAGTGAAACCTTTTAAAATTTTTAATTATTGAGTTTTAAGCTCCTTAATTATAAGAACATCTGTTTTTTTAAAGAATCATTTTATTTAACTTTATTTATTTTAATTTTTTGACCAGAGGGACAGCACCAGAGTGAGAGAGAGATCAAGAAAGTAAGAAAGCAAGCCACTAGGTCTGGGACTTGAACCACGGACAATGACGTGGGAGCCCAGTGTATTTAACTACCACACCACCTGCCTGTTCAAGAACATCTGGTTTTAGAAGTAGGTAAATATACTCCTTAAAGTCTGGAATTTAGAATGGTGTTTTTGAACACTATTCTTAGTATCAGACTAATGTATTATCCGTGAGAAATGTAAACCAGTTATGTAAAAATAAAATATCACACATATGAATTTTTGCAAACTATAAAGCCCTATTGAGATTATAAAGAAATACTCTGATGTTATCTTGAAACTAGAAGGCCTTGAAGTTACTAAGGGAAACCTCTTATATTTGAAACTATTTGCACCTTTCCCCAAAATAGAGGTTCCCCCCCCCACATGTAACTAACAGCAAGAGTGAGATTAGCTTTTTCAGTTCTTGGAGGTAAAGTTCAAGTGAAACTGATTTAATAGCAATAATTGTAGTAACTGCTCTAATAAGATGAGGGAATGCTCAACCTGTACTAGGCAAAGATCTAAAAAGGCTAGAATTGTGTTAGAAATCTTCACAGTCGCACCACACCCTTCTATCATTATATGTAAGTGTCCTAAGAAAAACTCTGCAACTCTCTGGAAAATTATATTAAAGACAAAGTGCTTTCAACACTAAGAACTGCACTGGCAGGTGAGACCTCAGTTTGGGTCTTAGACAATCCTGCTCTTTATTGGACACTTTCTGTAAAAATCATGCATGCTAAAACTTGCATGCACCTTCTTGCATCTGATTACACACACTATAAAGGACTGTATGTTCGAAATGGAGATGGGTACATTCCTGTTATATGTTTATGTGTACGGAAACATGACACCATTTTTCCTATAGCTAAAATGTCGCAAACGACGGAACATGGTACCTATCCTTTAAAACATTACCTGAGAAATATTAATAGTTCATCCAGCAGGCTTTGAAAAAGCGTAATCGTATTGCTTATGGTAGCCCTTACATAAAATGGCAATACACAGGGTGACAATCCTTAACGTGCGACAGCCAAGAACAAAAAGCAGGAGCTAGCGATTTAAAATCTCCCAAACGCCCGCGCTCTGCAACACTTCTTCCCAAAGAAGTCTGGCATATTCTGGGAATTCCACGGCCGCCGCCGGTCGGACGGTCTTCGGGAAAGCTATTTCTTGGGTAAGGTACAAAGGAAAACAATAAACCTCTCGCTTTCATCCCTTTCTCGTTCACTCTGTGGAGGGCGGATCAATAAGGGGCAGACTCGAGCCCTCTTTTCGCTGGGGGAACACGACTTGTCGCCTCACCCCTACTCTCCGGCCCCGCCCCGAAGGCTGCCAAGGCCGGAGACCTGCGGACAGGTAGTGCTTCCCGGCCTTACGTCCCGGGGGCGCCCGGCTGCAGCCCCTCACGCCCGTCCATCAGGCCCGCGAGGAGCAATCTCAGCAAAGGCGCCGGGAAAATCTCTGCTCTCGCACGCCACGCATAGGAGGCGCGTAAGGTAGAAGGGATCATTTCCTTCCCATATTCCCGGTGAGAAACTAGGCAGACGGAAAGGGGCTCGTACAACTCGAGCGTGGGGTGCGAACTCAGGGAACAAAGACACGGCAGAGGAAGCAGCAGCAGCCACACCAACGATGATTCAAAAGGGCTCTCCGACTTTACGCAAGCGGCCCACAACTCCACAGCGCTCAGTTCCCCTTACGCCACTGGCTTGGTCTCAGAGCCTTCGCGAATACGGCTTTGCGCACTGCGGCGGGGCTGCGCCGCAACCGAGCTTGGCAGAGTGGCTTTTCCCCGCC